GGGTGAAATGAGGACCCAGACTGTGGGGGCGATATGCTGACTCTGTAAACCGCTTACAAACTATGAAGCGGTATATAAGTCTAACTGCTATTGCTATTGCTATTCGTTTGCAGACGCCAGCCCTTAGGCTGACGACCAAGTGCATATTTCCGCTTTTTCCACAGATCAATTTCATATCACTGTGGAATTGATTGCCCGGGGGCCCTTCAGGTGGGGTCTTAAACCTACTTCCTTGCCTCAGGCCATCAGATGCAATGGTTTTGTTTCTATTTGTTATTCTTTTCCTTGTCGTGGCATACAAGTTTTATTATAAGCGCCAATGGAAGAGTGGGTTGAAGAACAGATAAATTCTGGATACGATAAATAAACTAAAGGCAGGACACTTGTATCGATTTAAATAATTAGTAGGCATCGTAACGAATAGGATTGACTCTCATTCTAAGCCAGATCTAAATTGGGTAACTTTTGTCATTCATCACCAGTACTGTGTATCTCATCTGGCCACAACCTGGCAGCTGGCATTTCCTTGCCAATTACCCACATACCCACTTGAAGTTCCTAATTGCTTTACTCCGAATCAGGAGCCCGTCCTGTCGACAATCCTCAGGCTGCATTAAAAATTGAGCGCTATTGATATGAGAAATTATTTCTGGAGTCAAAAAAAATATATATTTTTACGGTGATGCATAATCACCGGGAAACTCTCTCTGGGCAGCTGAACATTTTGTAGGAACATCAAGAACTACAGAAGCTGGATAATCTGGAGCCCTAGGATACAATTTCTCCAGGCAATACAGCTGCTTTATCTCACCAAATAAAATAAATAAGTAAATAAAAAGCGGAAGTAGGTGTGACTATCCATTTGCAGATAGGAGGAGAAGAAATAACGTTCAGAATGTTAACTACAATGGTGGACTTCAAAAACACACATGTTGGAAAATGAAAATAAAAGAATGTGCACTTCTTGGCACCCTAACATTGTTGCAGAAGCCAAGAGGCACTTGTAATATTAACACAATCGCAGTGTGCTTGCTGTTGTGCAACCTATTATTTTTTTCCTCCCTAACGGTGCATTTTTAACAGATCTTGTTATGAGAGCCATCAAGCAGCCTACATTGGCAATCAGCAGAGAAAGCTTAATGTTATGTTAGGCTATCAATCTTATTAGACTTGTAGGATTCCAACCTGCGTCCTGGAGGAAGGTTTAGGTTTAGGTTTATTTGATTTATATGCCGCCATTCTCCCAAGGACTCAGGGCGGCGTACAACATTAAAAGAAACACATAATACAAAAGTTTAAAAAAAATTAAATAGAATATCCCAAACCCAATTAAAATTGACAATGACATTTTTTTAAAAGAATTCAAATTCAAATTAACAGTAATCAATAATTTGTTTTGTTTTGTTCAGGCCAGGCTGGCTTGCTGGAAAAGCCAACTTTTTAGGGCGTGTCGGAAGGACCGGAGGTCGGGGATTATACCAAGTTCCGGGGGCAGCTCATTCCAGAGGGAAGGCGCTCCCACAGAGAAGGCTCTCCCCATGCGGGTCACTAGCCGGCACT